GCTGGGAAATCTAAATTATCTAAGTGCCAGCTGCCTTTGGATTTTAAAACAGAATTATCTTACTAAAGATAGGGCTTGTTAATGAAATGGAATAATGAATGACTACTGCTGTTGCTTAGATTAAGAAACTTCCGTTTTTGGTTTCTTTTATTTTCTCTTCTGGATCTGTCAACTTCCAGTAATTAGCCAAAATGACAAATACAAAAGGAAAGAGGAGAGGCACCCGATATATGTTCTCTAGGTCTTTTAGAAAACATGGAGTTGTTCCTTTGGCAACATATATGCCAATCTACAAGAAAGGTGATATTGTAGACATTAAGGGAATGGGTACTGTTCAAAAGGAATGCCCCACAAATGTTACCATGGCAAAACTGGAAGTCTACAATGTTACCCAGCATGCTGTTGGCATTGTTGTGAACAAACAAGTTAAGGGCAAGATTCTTGCCAAGAGAATCAATGTGCATATTGCGCATATTACGCATTCTTAGAGCAGAGATAGCTTCCTAAAACGTGTGAAAGAAAATGACCAGCAAAAAAAAAAGAAGCCAAAGAGAAAGGTACCTGGATTCAACTGGAACGCCAGACTGCTCCACCCAGAGAAGCACACTTGGTGAGAACCAGTGGAAAGGAGACTGAGCTACTCGAACCTATTCCCTATGAATTCATGGCATGATGGGAGTTAAAAATAAACTAATCTGTAGTCTATAAACATGTTTGCCTTAATTGAGTAGAATTATGTTCCCTCCCCAAAGCTGGCTCTAATTCATTTTGTAGTATCTTTATTCAAATTTAGTATTTTTTCACCTGAAAGATGTTAGGTGGTTTGGTTTATACAACAAATAAAACTCAGTTGGTTAAAAAGAAAAAAAAAAGAAAAAGAAACTTCCCATTGCAGTCCATCTAACATGTCAATGGCCTGCTTCTGTTTCCCAGAGAACACTCAAGAGGCAGCAATTACAACAGTACCCATTTTTACTAATAGCTGCATTTTAAACAAACTGCCAGAAAAATATTTACTAACCACCAGGAAACACCTGCAGTGGGCTTGAAAACAACAGACTTTAGGGAAGTCTGTAAGGCTTCTATTTTGTGACTGTCTTTCTCTTCAAGTCTCCCCACAGACATAACATTGTTGAAAGCATGACCTGAAAAGTCTGTAACAAAATGAAAACATTTTAAATGGGGTAAAGCATTTGGCCAACTGGACTGAGAGCAGGGCTGCCTGCATTACACTGCAGTCTCTACCTCAACTCTCTACATCGCGGAACCTCTAAGAAACTGAAATGGCCAAAACAACAGGGTTTCAGTGTAACTCAATCCTACATAAATAGAACAGACAAGGAAATTAGTTTCTCAATCCAAAAACAACATACACTAAAGCAGCCGTGGTCCAATACACTCAATTTACTGGACAGAATCAAACAGACTAATTTTACAAGTCTCAATTTTTTGAAAGCAGATACAAACGTAAGAGTTAAACTAAATGTCTATTCTCAGAGCCCTCTACCCTACTCTCCACACACATACCATTCTCCTTGGGTAGGGCAGTGGTGAGAAGGTGACTAAAATGCTTGACTAAATGGCTCCACCAATTCAGTACAATAATTTAAACATATCTGAGGGACAGAGATGCTAAATCACATACCCAAGGAGCCAATAAGGGTTGGCTGTACAGAATGACAGGATGGAGATGTAGAGCCAATCGAACTTTCCAGAGTAAAAATACATAAAATCATTGCTGCAACAGCTTTGATGAGATAAATACTGACTTACGCTACAGAAAATAACATATTAGCAAAATTGGCTAAGTGCTTTCCTCTAAACCAAGCACACTTGGTATTCACAATTTCATTCTGAAGTCACTAGGTAAACAAGTCTTATCATTTCAGTGTATTGCTAAGGGTTTGATTTGATCTCTAAAACTGAAGTAGAAAATGCTTTACTAGCTCTTGACACTTAAAAAGTCCTAAATTTGATGTATTGTGAGTTCACACATGGCATCTCCTCTCTCACATCACACACACACACACACACAAAAAAATCACAATATCAGTTCTGTGGGTATTTTAAATGTTTATTTCTATTTGAACTAGCCCAAAGACCCAATTATTTGAAGGGTAAGCTGATTTCTTTCTGGCATATGGTCTATAGAACCTCCTCATGGTTTAACTTTCTTTCCACACACCCCCAAAACAGTCTGCACCTTCCATCATGATGCACATTTTAATTTAAAATTGCCAAAAACAACCCTCAAAATGCAAGTTTATTGAATAAAGCTGAGAAGAGCAGTAAACAGACAAAAAAATGCATCCACCTAAATTAAAAAAAAAAAATCCACGTATTTACAAAGTTCAGTAACTGTTAAGTTTTCACATGCAGAGGTTAATGCACAGGAAAATGGTGGCAGTAGCGTCTGATGTCTTGAAATGCTGAAAGCAATGAAGAGACACATAAACACAGTAAGGTGTAGGTCTTCACAAACCCCTGCAGTCCTCACATAGTCACACGTTCTAGTTCTGATTCCTCCTCATAGGCACAAGCAAGTTGCCACATTCTTTGTAATGGTTCCCAATCCCATGAATGGGGTGAACTACAGTAGCCAGTTTAAATATCCCTTCATTTGTAGAACCATCCATCCCATCAGGGAAGTATGCAACATGCTTCGAAGATTAAGAAGAGAACTTTGAAAGCCCAGATTCTAATCATAAAAATGTGAATGGAGGAAAACAAGAATAAACAAGTAGTGTCTGTGCAACACAGTGCAGTACTTTGTACAGAATATTTTCTTAAGGCCATGGCAGTCTATAAATTAAAAGTGGTATTCCTTAAAAGAACTTACTGTTGATGAGTGTTCAACACAGTTGGAAATGCACCGTCTACGTAAGTGCTGCTTAACAAAAGAAACGAAATCACACACGGTGTGAAGCAACACGCAAGCAGGTGAACCATAGGGCTGTATCTACTACGGTGGTCTGTACGAGTAACAGATTACAATGAACCGTACTACTATGTCCCTTTATGTTTATGGCGATCAACAAACTACAAAACATGTTCGTTTTACATTTTTATACACCTCTGTATCATAGAAGCAAACAAAAAACAGCATTGGTTCTTCAGTTCTCTTTGCCGTTTGATTATTAAACAACCTGTAGACGTTGCACGTGATTACATTAGCTAAAGCAGGCAAGTCTAGAGTTGTCACAATAATCAAGATGTCTAATGGCACCAGACAAAAGAGTGCCAAACCTTACATCAATAAGAGAGAAAAATAAGAATTTTTATTTGTTTATAAGTATCTTTTGTGCTGAAAGTCAACTGTATGACTAGATATAAAAAGTCGAGAGTTAAGAGTGTCTGTCATGCAGCAGCACTGGAGATAGAAAGAACAGGCAGGTGTTTGAACAAAGTCTGACGTTCTTGACAGGTTTGATTAGATTGGCTGGAATGCTCTAAATTCATGAAAGCTTTTGAGAAAATCTTCAATTCCTAACCCCTTAAAAAAGTGTGTTGAACCAGGAAAGAAAAAAAGAAAAGGAAAAAATAAAAAAAAGAAAAGACGTGATGATCTGGACAGATACAACACAGCATGCTTCAGTTCCTCCCGTATCCCCAACTGCTATCTGGCAATAAAGAATTCTCAGAGAGCAGAATGGTTTTAAAATTCATCAGGTAGAATCTCACCGGTGTAAAGAACCAACAACACTGATCTGTTGCCTCACGCACTCTTTGCAGACCACTTGTAATTCCTAAGGTGTAAATACGTTTCACATGCATTTGTGAGATAAGACAAAGATTATGTTTCTATCCCACATGAGTCAGGCTTAAAGGTTTTCTAAATACTGTGTGTGGCACTAGAAACTTCATGCTGTATCAAGTCAGTATCAATATTAAGCTACTGGACTCTAATGAAATTTTATAGATAGACATTTACTGAAAACGAATATAAAAATCTGGCCCAGAAAGACCAGAATGGAAATATGCAATCTTCTTGATTTAAGATGGTCAAAAGTGTGTTAAAAAGCTCTACACACTGTTGAAGTATGTGTAACAGCCTTTTTGTGTGTGCTGACTCTATCATGACAACTCTAGCTGAATCTTTATGAAGGATTAGGGACACACATCTTCAGCAGTGCACATGAGAAATAAACTCTGAAAAAGGCAATTTCTTGGGTTTAGGAAGGACCGTATTCTGGGAAGTACTTCAGAGGAACGGACAATAATTCTAGGATTATAGCCAAGAAGGACTGGAAGACTTCAGGAGGTGCTTCAGCTTCTTCTAGATTTTGAATGTTGAATAAGCCACTGAAGTGTGATATCTATAGACAGGGGGGAAAAGTGAAGGCATTAAGACATGAGTTAAGAAACATAACATCAAACAGACACAGTATTTAAAATGCAGCTAATTCAAGGCACATTCTGGGCCTGTCTTTTGCTTCTCTGCATCTAAACTATTCATTACTTGAGTTTTGAGAGAATTCATATGAGGAGTTACCAGACTGAAGAGCCTTCTGATTTAAGAATTTAACTGCGCAGGGTGACTGCTGCCCTCCGTTACTCACTGCCTATGAGGTCAGGCACTACATGCAAATTGCTAGGACTGCAAGGATATGAGAGAGCCTCTCTCTGCCTTCACGGAACTTTTATGTATAATGAGCAGAAAAGACACAAAGAATCATTTGGGTTTGGGGGTCCACTCCACAGAATGCCAGGCAAAACAAACCGCAAAAGCAAAAGAATCAAAAAATGCATGAAACAGTGTGGAGCTCTGGGTGGAGTGAATGATGTGACGGCTAAAGCACAGGATGAGGAGGGGGATGTCACCCTGCCAAGGCTAGAGCAGGGCTGTAACTTTGGCCTTTTGACATTCTGGCCTGGATAATCCTTTCTTTCCTGTGCAATAGCGAAAGGCCTTTCTGTGCCCTGTAGCATACTGGCCTTAGCCACTAGATGCCAGCATCACCTTCATCCCCAGTTTTGACAACCAAAAATGTCTCCAGACATTGCAAATGTCCCCTGAGGAGTAAAACTGTCCCAGCTGAGAACCTCTAGCTAGAAGGAGACAAGTAATTTTGAATGTCATTTTTCCATGCTAAAAGGTTTGGATTTTATTCTCTAGTCAACATGAAGTTACTTTAAGCAGGGAAGTCTTATTAGTTTATTTTAGTAAGTTAGCAGTGGCAACAGAGTAAGACAACCTGGAGGGATGCCATTATGGAGACTACGGTACCAAGAACGGAAAAAGGACAAAGGCCTGAAGGAAGCCAAGCACTGCAGGGATGAAGAGGAAAATGGAGGGGCATGATTAAGACATAGAACTGACAGGACTTGGTCACGAACTGTATGTAGTGGATGAGAACTTATGTTCTGGCCTGAGAATGCGAGTCATGGAGCTACCAAGTAAGACAATGGCTAAAAGAGGGCAGCTTTGGGGGAAAAGTGATCGAGAATTCTGCTGTAAGGCCATGAAGCCTGAGGGGCAGTGGGTAACACATATGTGGATGTCCAGCAGGTAGTCTGAGAAGAGATGAAGACTGGCGAGATACCATCACATACATGGCAGCTGACACGACAGGAGCTGAGATTAGTCCAGAAAAGCACAGACTGAGAAGAGGAGACACTGAGTTATTTATTGTCCCAAGTCCTTTACATAGAGAACCGCGTCCTGTGTTATCTACACAAACGGTGGGAGACTCTAGGGAGCAGTGTTCCATTCTCCAAGCCTGAGACTGATGAGTGTAAATTCGACCTTCAGTTTCCTGGCTCGCACACATGAGACACTATAGCCACAAACATCTAAAGAGCAGACTGGAGCTGAGATCTGCATGAACACCACCGTTTGTAGGAATAATGATTCCGCCCAACAGCAAGCAGGTCCTTTGTACCTCAAAAGGGGGACAACAATCTTTACTAAGACTGAGCCGTGCTCACTTAAACGGAATGGGAGAAAGGGGATCTGAAGTGAAATGACCCAGTTTTAAATATTTAAGAAATTAATCTAAAAATAAAACAAAATCATCTGTGGAAACTAGATAGATAGTCACATGCTGAAGACAGATGGATCTCCAAGGCTATATAAGAAGATATCATAGAAATAAATACTCAGTTGAAGGAAGAGTCACTTTCCATGACGAGAAGTAAAAGGTATGAGCAATCTTTGTGAAGAACATCTTCCCAGAAATAATGTGTTCTATGTGTGACTTGAGGACACAGTACGAATGAAGTTAAGGTACTTCAGGTCACATTAAGAAGTGAAAAGTGTAACGACTCATGTGCACCAAAACACAGACTGAGAAGAGGAGACACTGAGTTATTTATTGTCCCAAGTCCTTTACATAGAGAACCGCGTCCTGTGTTATCTACACAAACGGTGGGAGACTCTAGGGAGCAGTGTTCCATTCTCCAAGCCTGAGACTGATGAGTGTAAATTCGACCTTCAGTTTCCTGGCTCGCACACATGAGACACTATAGCCACAAACATCTAAAGAGCAGACTGGAGCTGAGATCTGCATGAACACCACCGTTTGTAGGAATAATGATTCCGCCCAACAGCAAGCAGGTCCTTTGTACCTCAAAAGGGGGACAACAATCTTTACTAAGACTGAGCCGTGCTCACTTAAACGGAATGGGAGAAAGGGGATCTGAAGTGAAATGACCCAGTTTTAAAATATTTAAGAAATTAATCTAAAAATAAAACAAAATCATCTGTGGAAACTAGATAGATAGTCACATGCTGAAGACAGATGGATCTCCAAGGCTATATAAGAAGATATCATAGAAATAAATACTCAGTTGAAGGAAGAGTCACTTTCCATGACGAGAAGTAAAAGGTATGAGCAATCTTTGTGAAGAACATCTTCCCAGAAATAATGTGTTCTATGTGTGACTTGAGGACACAGTACGAATGAAGTTAAGGTACTTCAGGTCACATTAAGAAGTGAAAAGTGTAACGACTCATGTGCACCAAAATACTTTTGGGAGCAATTTACTAATTTCTTAAATTTGACACCATAAAACAAATCGAAAACTGCCAAAACCAAGGAGAATATTCTGACCTGATTACCCAAGAAGTCTGATCCACTTGGCTGTTAGTTGCATTTCTTGTTCCAAATAAACAGGCATTCCAATTTACAAACTATTTATTTTGAATCTAGTTAGAGTGGATCAGTTTCCTTGTCCATGGTAATAGTTAAATCAACCAGCAGTTCCAAAATCACAAACCTGGTAACCACCAACTATATAATAAACTATGAAGACTAGCCTCAAATAGCAAAAGAGGGTCTCACCAGCTCTACCGCATATCTGCTAAAAGAGCCAGAGATACATTTTTCTGCAAAGTAACTGGCTAGTTTGCTACAGTAGCAAAACAAAGGACTTTTTCTTCCCTTTTAAAGTCTTGATTTCTTTTCTATTTTAAGAAATATTATAGGAAACCTAAGAGAGTAATGCATTTACAGAATAGTACAATGTACAAAAAACTATGACCAGTACTGAACAGGGTTCCTCGACCTCACTGCTACTGAGATGTTATGCTGGGTAATTCTTTGCTGTGGGGGCTGTCAGATTTTTCACATCTCTGGTCTCTACCCACGAGATGTTCCATCACTCTTAGTTATGGTAATGAAAAAATGCCTGCAGCTGTTGTCACATGTCTCCTAGGGGGAAAAATTCCCTATTGAGAATCACTGGTGTAAAAGTAAATGCTCTCATGGATGAATATCTTAAAATGCAACAAGAATTCCCTCAAAATAGGGGAGGAAAACAACCTAAGTACAATCTCAGTGACCGTAAGTGTTTGAAGAGTCTGTTCTGAAATTAAATGAGTGTTTCTGTCCCAGGCTGGTAGCACAGTCGAGGTAGAATAGTAAACTGCAGTGCTGGAAGCCACATGGCTGACCACAGGTCTGGATCAGCTGGGTCATTCAGAAACACCACAGACATGTCCCCAAGGTCCAGACAAGCTGAAGGACTAGGGGAAGGGGGTCAAAGTGTGACCAGACTCTACTCTGTTGCAAGTACAAATGCCCATGCACAGGGACTATCATGACTAAACTTTGAAAACATATAAATAAATAAATGAGTGCTTCCAATATAACAAGCCACTCGTTCTATCCATTTAATAGAAAAAATGTTGTGTTCATCGGCAGAGTTGGTGCTTAGGCTGCTCCGGATGATCTTTAAAGGAAGTTCGGAGTAGCGAGAACAACAACCATCAACACTCTGAGCAAAGCGGAGCATGTTTGCAGGAAGGGGAGTGGGAATTGAGGCAGAGGAAGACAGACTGGAATTAACTAAAAAAGACTAAGTACCACGAAAACCGGTATTTAATGAAAAGAGGCTCAGGAAAAATATGAGAATACCTTTTTGAACATACTGTATTGACACTATTTATTGCATTTTACTTTAATATACCCTTACTAAATAATTCCTCACCAAATTAGTTAAGAGCCTAGAACTGAATCATATGGTTCAATATACATATTTATTTATTTATTTAAAGGACACTGTTCTAAAGAGTATACCCTCTAAAAATCCATGTCAACCCACAACCTCAGAATGTGACTTTATTTGGAAAAAGGGTCTCTGCAGAAATAGTCAGGATGAGGCCTTACTGGACAGGGTGGCCAACTACTTGTGTCTTTTTTTCTTACTCTTTTTTTCCATGAAGAGAGACAGAGAGAAAGAGAGAGACAAGCATCCTCACAGGGTCTTCACATCATGACTCATCCATCCCCAGCCTCGGCAAGCCAAGATCACAAGCACATGCACACATGCCCAGCATGTTGTACAGAGAGACCTCGGGGTGTGAACTGAGGAACTTCTCATGTCGTTTCAGCACTGTGGAGTACTGCATTGCCACTGTGCTGCTGTGGCTGGCCCCACGATTTGTGTCCTCTTAAGAAGATTATACACTTACCCAGAGACACACACAGGGAGAAAGTCATGTGAAACATGGCTACACGGCAGAGATTGGCATGGAACGCCCAAATGCTAAGGAGCACCAAGGACTTCTGGCACAAGCTAGAAAGAGGTAAGGAAGGACCTTCCCTGAGAGCCTTGGTTCTGAGCTTCTAGCCTGCTGTACTTGAGACAGTAAGTTTCTGCTGCTTTAAGCTATCTAGTTTGTGCTACTTTGTTGCGGCAATTCGACAAAATTAATACAGACATTAAGTAGATAAAGAGTATTTTTGGCTTACACTTCCAACAGAGCACTAACATATTATAGTAATACACTTTATAGTGTATTAATGAACACTTGTTATAGTGCCTGGAGAACAATTTTTATAAAGTCTTACTTCAAAAATAATTTTAATTTTGCTTTCATAAAGCACAGCCAGATACTAGCTCTGCAAAAATTAATACAATAAATTGACATCACGTAACGTTTAATCTCATTCCTTTACTGCATTTATTTCTTTAAACTGCAGAGAGATGATTTGGGGTGGTATACGTGTTGTCAAAGGTATAATGTCTACTCTCTCTTTTTTTTTTTTTGGCAAAAGCAATCGTACTCTACAAAGGAAGTCACTTGAACAGAAACGGGGATAAGTTAGAAGCATTAGATCTTCCTTCCAATGATACCCATTTCTTCCCAAAATACCACTCATTTCTTACCTATATTATCCTTTTCTTTGCAAGAAATTGAATAGCAGCAAATTTCTCTATCCTGAATAGCAGACAGATTCCTAAAAGAAGCAGAATTAAGAGAATTAAGTCTGTGCTTAGAACAGCTGCCATGATGTTTATCAATCTTTGCTCAATGTTATTTATTTTTATTTCTCTTCTGAAGAAATTACTTTACCACTACCAAAATTTCAGGTATTCACTTCTCTGGTAATTCAGGTAAAAACTCTGTTATGATCATTACTGAGTAATGAAATGATGCTAGTGGGAAAAAAATGGAATTGAGAACCAAGTCTGAAACACATCATTCACTTTTAAGACGTACATTTTTTCGATTAGCTGTTTCTCATCCAAGGCATTGGGAAGATCTCTCTTGTTTCCAAGTACTAGGACCTTTAAAAAGAAATTAAGAGTAAACTTTTGTGTAGAAAAGAGTCACATAAGCTTATCATCTCAATATCTGAAGACATTAAAGTTAGAATATTAACACATGCCACAACATTAAAACACAAAGTGTGACTCGTAGCCTATCTTATCAATTTAATGAGCCATACTGACACGCAATTAACTCCCACCACATAGATGACCTTGATTCAGTATGTGGCTGCCAACTTCTACCAAAAATATTCTAAGTCTACATTATGCATTCTGCTGTTTCTTAATGAATCATCGCTAAAATGTGAATATGATCACAACAACCAAAGGTGAAGAAACCTTTTGTTTTCTGGTGAGTGTGTGATATTGCAAGACAGAGATAAGGGGGCAACTTCAAGAGGAGTCTTGGCTCCTGATCCTCAGCTCTCCAGCTCCTCAGGATCCCAAGTGCCCATATGCACATCCACCATGTTTTAAGAAAACCTAGGTGGTCCAAACCCATAGTCAGTAAGTGGCTTCCAACCTTGTAGGGCACTCGTGTCACAACTGCTGAGCCAGCGACCATTTTTTAACCAGTTTTTATGTTACAGTCATTAATCATGTAAACATACAAGTAAGTTTTTTAAAATTCAGAATCTAACAGGGAGAAATATTCTATGACAATGGGTAAGTGTAGGTAGCTGGATAAACCTAACTGCCATAAACTCTGAGAATACATGTTATCACCTGCTTATCAGATGTAGTTAAAAAAGCAAGCGAAACAAAACAGCCTTCTCAATTACACTTTATTTTTCTCAGATACAATATCATTTCTGAACTATGGAAATCAAGGACTATGAAGATATACATACACACACACACACACACACACACATATATATATCTTAATCTATGGCATCCATACTCTAAATCAGAATTTATATCTTTGATCCATCCTACACAGTACACACGATATCCCTGTCATACCTGTTTCTTTACTTAATACCCATCCACTAGCTCCCTGGCCTCATATATATATGTATGTGTATACACACACACACACACACACACACACACACATATATTTTTTGAGAGGTTTTTGCTATAGGGCACGTACACTCGCCAGACAGAGACAGACGTAGAGACAGAAAGCGAGAAATCACCCCCTGGGGGGATGGCCACGCCACAATCCCTTCTCCTCTGTTCTCCTCTTGGAATCTTGGGCACGCATGCACACGCGCCCGGCCTAAGTTTTAAGCCACTGGGTCCAGGACACGAACCGTGGTCGACTACATGGGAGTCCAATGACATAGCCATTACACTAACTGCTGGTCCCCTCCCTGGCCCTATTTTGAGCAATAGACTAATAGGCATATATTCTTCTTCCTTTTTTTTTAAAGATTTTTGCCACAGGGCACATGCACTCTGGGGGTGTGATAAACCAACCCCCAGGGAGACTGCCACAAGAACTGGGGGTGTGATAAACCAACCCCCAGGGAGATAGCCACAAGAAAATCCTTTCTCCTCTCTGGATTTTGGGCATGCATACACACGCATCCAGTGTGATTTTCAAGCCACTGGGTCCAGGACTCCAACTGTGATCAGCCATGTGGGAGTCCAGCACCTTTACCACACCATCTGCTGGCCTACATAGGTATAGACTCTTATTTCCATTTTGCACAAAAGGCAAAGAAGCAAGGTCAGAGGCACAGACCAGTAAGTCTGTGGGAGCTCCCTGGAGAAAGTTAAGTAAGACGTACATGCAGTCAAGGAGCCAATAGCCAAATCTCAGTACTTTTGGTTGGTATGTCTTTTTTCCAACTCTTAACCCTCTCTACACTGCTAGTTAAGTCACTCAGGTTCTCACGCTGTATCTGGCTGAACTATCACACACCAGGGTCATCTGTGACCAGCTCTTAGTCTTAAGGTTGCCTAGCACCTTTCTCCCATCTAATGCACATTCCTCTCAGTATGCTTCTACAGGTAATTTATTTCTCAGTTTTCCTTCTGGCTAGAGCATACATGCATAATCTAGGACCTACCGGCAACTCTGGATGCAGAACCAAGAACCTGGATGAGAAAGCAAGGACAGAGAACCTATTCTGATAGTGGAGGAGCATCAGCAAGAACACCCCCAATCAGAAACCGCATGTGGTCACCAGACTTACTTCATGGTATGAGTTTGGATGTGACCGCGGCAGCTGCTAAGCTTCCCTCATTTCAGTCTATTTTTTGAGCCTGATTATATGCAGCCTTCTAAAAAACTCTGTGAGCAACACAACATCCTTTTGATGAATTCCTTTCAACTTGAATCAGCTTTCTTTTGCATGCCACTAATAATCCTTATGGCAACTGAGATAAAAGTGATTTTTATTTGTAATGTATATAAAACTAGTTTTTAATATAGAACAGAAAGAGTAAGCTTTCAAGTCAGATAAACATGGATTCAAAACCTGGCTGTGTGACTTACTAAAAGACGATGTGATCCTGAATGCATGGGGAACTCATAGTCTGAGAACTGCTATGTAGGAAGGCTAATATTACCAACCTCGACATGTTGTCAGGAATAACTGAGATAATACGTTTCAGGTACTTCACATCCATGGGCCTCTAATGAGGCAAAAGCCTCTTCTCCCAGCATTCCTCAGCTCAATGAATGGCACCGCCATCCACCTAACTGCAAGAGCTGGGAACCAGGAATTAGTCTTTACATGTCTGCTTCTAATCCATTACCAAGGAAGGTGGACTATGTTCCCACATACCTCTAAAATCCATCTCATTTTGCCTACTATACTACCCTAATCCAAAGTACCATAATTTGCCAGACCTTTGAAAACGACTTCCTAAAACCATATTCCTCATTGTCCCTCCGCTTGACCACTTCAATCTCTTCTTCCACTGTAATCAGAGTGATCTATCCAAACATAAATGTGATTATTTAAAACAATGCAGTGGCTTCCCACACTATACCCTAGCTGCCACACAGGACTTCTTTACCCCACTCTGCTTTCTGCTCTAGAAACTGGCCTCCTCTCAGAGCCCTGCTCCCCCCACCAAAAGCTTTTTGCCTAAAAACTTTCTTCCCACAACCATCACATCCCTAACTTTTCTACACATCCCTCAGATCTCAGCTCAAGCATCACTTCCTCAAAGAATCCTCTCTTTTTACCCCAAACTGGATAAAATCTCCCCTACAACTTACAAGTCACATAGCCCCTTGCACTTTCCCTGACAGCATTTATCAGAGCTGAATTATTCAAATGTTTTCGGATGCATGAGGGCAAGAAGGGTGCTGCTGCTGATTCTGGTCAGTACTATGTCCCAGGGACTGAGCACTGTGCTCCTGCTGCACAGTTCAGCAGACACGTGGTTAAGCTGCTCATGAACAGCACAACACCCAGTATATGGCAAAAACTCGGTAAATAGAAACCCTTCAGACTTTTTGCCCGCATTACTGATTTCAAACATAATTAACATTTTACATATTTCAAACATAATTAATACAATCATATTTACAAATATAAAATAACAAGTACTTACTGGAATTCCTTGTAACTGTGGCTTATCTAGAAGATTATGTAATTCATTTCGAGAGGCTTCTATCTTTTCACGATCTGCGGCATCTATCATGTAACTTTAAAGAAAAGGCAAAGTGATCTCAATGTGTATTCTCCATATGCCTTGATAACAACTGAAATGATAGATTTTTTTTTATCTTTCTTAAGATTTACATTATTCAGGACCAGCAGTTGGCATAATGGCTATGTCGCTGGATTCCCATGTAGTCGACAATGGTTCAAGTCCTGGACCTGGTGGCTTAAACTCATGCCAAGCGCATGTGCATGTGTGCCCAAGATCCCAAGAAGAGAAAGGAGGAGAAGGGATTGTGGCATGGCCATCCCCCCTAGGGGTGATTTCTTGCTTTCTGTCTCTCTGACTCCGTCTTTCTGGTGAGCGTGCACGCCCTAAAGCACAAACTTCCCCCCCCCCAAAAAAAAAGAAAATTATATTATTCAAGTTGTTAATCAATATTTGGACTAGCCAGTGGCATGGTAGTTAAATATGGTCAACTATGCAGTTCCAACCCCAGACCTGGTGACTTGGAAAGGACACCGGGCACATGTGCATGCAGGCCAAAATCCCAAAAAGGAGAAATGGATAAGAGATAACCCTGATCATTCCCCATGGGAGGTACTGCCTCACTTTCCCTCTTTCTCTGTCTCTCTACAGTGACTGCACATGCCCTCTGGCAAAAATTTAAAAAGGGGAAAAAAGCTTGGCAACCATACTTTCATACTTACTAGAGGTAATAAATGATAGCAAAACATTTACATCCCTTACTCCTCGACTGTATAAACAAAACATGAATAGAACTCTCTATTTTTTTTTAAATCCCAAGTTATTGGAATTATACTAAGAAATTAGCTAAGGGCCTAGCCACATGGAAGTCCAATTTCAATTCTTGTCTGCTCTGAAAAGCTGGGTGCACTGGAACACATCTGTGGTCCCAGCTACTCAGGAGGGTGATGCAGGAGGACCACGATACAGTGAGACCTTGTCTAAAATACCAGACACACCACCATCCAAAAAAAGGGAAGGAAGGAAGGAAGGAAGGGAAGGAAGGAAGAAGAGGAAAAAGGAGTAAGAAGAAGAAAGAAGAGAAGAATGAGAAGAGAAATTAGCTCAGAAATAGAAGAGGAAAAAGGAGTAAGAAGAAGAAAGAGAAGAATGAGAAGAGAAATTAGCTCAAAAATATTCTTTTTTTTTTTTTCCTGGAGAGGTTTTTGCTATAGGGCACCTGTGTTCACCAGGAAGACAGAGAGAAACAAAGAGACAGAAAATGAGAAGTCACCCCCCAGGGGGATGACCACGTTACAATCCCTTCTCCTCCATTCTCCTCTCGGGATCTTGGATCTTGGGCACACATGCAAGCAAGCAGGCTCGGTATGAATTTAAGCCACCAGGTCCGGGACTCAAACTGCGGTTGACTACATGGGAGTCCAGCTACACAGCCATTACGCCAACTGCTGGTCCCACAGAAAGATTTTTATTTACTGAGGTAAAAACTGGGCCTTTGAAGTATTAAAAACAACTTTCTTCTTTGAAACTTAAATTAACTTTAAAAAAAAAAAAGAAAAGAAAAAGCTTACACAATAGCATTGACTCCTCTGCAATACCGTTCCCACATGCTCCGGAATCGGGGTTGACCTCCTATGTCCCAAATCTTCAAGTTAAGAAAAGACAATTATTAATAAAAATACTTCAAATAATTCATCAAAGAAAAACATAGCACAAGAGCAGAGAAAAGTCAGGACGATATAGTAATTTCTACAATCTTAGAGCCAAAGTGTTCCTAAAAAAACTAAGCTCAAACAAGCTTTTGGTCTGGGGATTCTTATGACCACTTTCAAACTTGAAGGCTACATTTGATAAGCTGACATTGAGGACTAAAATTCTGTTTAAGCAAAGATCTGGTTTTATGCTATACTTTGTCTGTTAACCAATACAGTTCTAATATAAAAATATATTTCTTTAAGATAATATTTAAAATCTATGGAACCATGAATCATCCAGATTTGAGTATCAAGACAGAAAGAGTAACAGCTCAGGAACTACTGAAGTTTAGTTGTCTGGTTCAGTAAACATTAATGCGCAATCTTTTAAAATTATCCTAGAAATAGCATTGCCAACAAACCTACCTAGATTATTTTCTTGTATTATTATTATTATTATTTTATCCATATGAAAGTCACTGTCCATAATAATTTCATTACTATGCCTATTCTATAGAGCATCAGGCTGAACACTGGGCTACTTAAAGTCTTAAGTCATGGTATTTCTTATCAAGAGTTTAGCGAACAGCTTCTGTGATCTCAAGAATTGGGCCAAATGGTCAGGTCCCAGGTTGTAAAAGTACATTCCCATGAATCACTGAACTAAAAAAACGAAAAAACCACAATGATAAAAACAATGCCTCTAAAAACACTCCAGCAGTCCATTACCCTATAAAGCTCATTCTACAAAGACAATGATGTTAAACAACTAGTTAACTTTTTCCTGTGCTATGGTTTCAATTAAAGGGCTTAATAGTAGAGAAAGGATAAAATACGTTACAGTATTTGCTATCACAAATACTAAACTATCAATAGTATAATAAATTATTTTACCTTTTAATGTATCATTCATTAAATCATGCAATACCACATTACAAATACTCTAAAGATGGAATCTATATTTCCTAGGAACAACTAAATCCCAAATAGTATTTCTGTCTACTCATAAGCCAAGTTTTTTTTTTTTATGGGTACTTAATAACATTTCAAGTTTTATGAATTTAAACTATTACAGAAACAAAAATCAATGAATGTATTCTCTAAGAGAATTATGCCCATTCATTACTTACGAACAGCAAATACTGAAGAAAAAGCAAAGAAGCAAACAGAAAAATACCTAATTGTATATAATAACAATTTAGATCAGTACAGCAAGAAACTGACATACCTTTATTGTGACGTTACCTTTAGTTACTTTCCTCATGTTGAAGCCCACTGTAGGTATCATGTCTTCACTGAATTGACCTGACTGAACACAATAAAGTTAGACTAATCAGTATTTATAAAGCGAGATAATGGTGTATAACCTTCTAGCATCACCATTGCATTTGCACCCATTTTAGTAAATAATTTAGACTTTTTAGTGGTGGGAACAATTTTAAGAAAAAACTTTCCTTATAGCTACAATTTTCTAAGAAAAACAGTATTTTGTTAATACAAAGTCTCCCATTCAAAACAAGAAAGATGTTTTTAAAACAAAGGTAATTTTTTTTACAAATTTCCTTAAGTTTAAAACAAAAACCTCATATTACATATACATATAAAAATTACAAAAATCTCCCACCTACACATAATCATTTCATGCATAAACTATAAAAAAACTTAAGTAAAATTTCAGTTTCCTGCTTTTAGCATTTAAATTATTTTGACGATAACTTAAAATACACTGCTGAATAGCTTTTCTGAGTCTGTCTTTTAACAAGGTTTATAAGATATTTTGTCATGTTGAAAGAAGTTTATCATTTTACATAATCAACGTTACCTTTCTGGCTTATAAGAATGTCATAAGACTAAAATTAGGTCTTTTAAATAAAATTTGTATAACTTTTTCAAGTTTAAAATGTTCATCCATCCAGAATTTAATTTGATACAAGAAGATCTCTTTTTTCAAATGGATAACCAATAATTAACTCATACTTTCCCAACTTCTTAGGAATGATAAGTCAAATACCAAATACAGATATCTGTCTACCTGGGGCCTGAATTCTTTTCCATTAGTCTGTTTATTTCTAGGTAAACATTTCACTTATTTTTATAGGTTACAGCATGTATTATTCTTCGTAGCAGAGCTACAGTCTGCAATGTTTTTGAATTATCTCAATTCTTCTCCCACACTTCAGTAACTCCAGAAATTAATTATTGTAGGTTAAAATATTAACTGGATTACACTAAATGTATTAATTTGAGAACTGCCCTTTTTCAACACTTAACCACTATCATGTCTCTCCATCCAAGCACATAGTTTTGTCCACTCAATCATTCCTACCTTTTTTATCCTTAAGTGAAGTATCACAATTCTCATTATAAGTCTTATGTTTCTTGCCATCTTTTATTTCGACTGCTACTATGAAACATCTTAATGTGTGATGGGTAGGTAATACTGAGTTTATCCATTTATATCAGAGCCACCTTATGAAAAATTAATTTTTTGTTGTTCTGAATCTTATTGTTTTTTAGGTAAAGAGCCAGAATCAGCAAGTATCTCAAAACAAGGATAAACAAATGAGACTATTTTCAAGGTCCTAACACTGGCCAATTGTTTGGGGTGACCTTATGCTAGCCACATATGCATTACACAATTGTCGACATGCCCTAAGCACACTGAATGTTGATTTTACAAATTAATTTCTGCTGGGGTTTTTTTCCTCCCTGTTCAATGGAGTTTTGGTTGATTTCAGGGGGAAAGAAGGCAAATACAACCATAATCACTAATTTCACTTATACCAGAGATTACAACTTTTGAAACTTTCACATGATTTGTATGAGCAAACACATAAAATAAAATATGTAAGTCAAAACTAGTAATGATAAAAGACATATAAATGGCCGATAAGTATATGTTTAACAGCATTAATCATTAGGAAAATGCAAATAAAAACCACAAAAAGGTACCACTTCATACCTATCAGTATGGTTACTCTTAAAAAATAGTGTCAGCAAGGATGTAGAAAAATTGAAACTGTTGATGGGAATGTAAAACAGTAAAGCTGCTGCTAAAAACAGTTTCTTAATAATTTAAAACAGTGTTATCACAAATAGTGTTATCTAGCAATTCAACCTCTGAGTATGTACCAAAAATAATTAAAAGCAAATTCAGGGCCAGCTGGTGGTATAATGGTTAAGGCAACTGGAACCCACATGGCCAACCGCAGGGTACAAGTCCCACACCCAATGGCTTGAAAAGCACACCAGGCAAGTCTATGTGCATCCCCAAAATCTTGAGAGAAGAATGGAGGTGAAAGGACTGTGGTGTGACCATTCTCCCTGGAGGTGCTTTCTCACAGTGCACCCCCCACAAGCCCTCTGGGGAGTGTACATGCCCTCTGAAAAATTAAACAAGGAAAAAAAGGGCAGGTGTTAAAAGAGAATTTGCACACCCATGTTATGGTCACATTAGTCACAAGAGTCAAAGGTAGAAGCAACAAATGTCCGTCTATAAGCAGAAGAACGGATATCAACACGGGACAGACATACAATGGAGTATTAATCTTTAAAAAGGAAATTCTGACACCTGTTATAACATGAATCAACTATGAAGACATAAGACTAAGTTGCAATGCCAGTCACAAAGACAAATACTACTTATTTCACATGTGTGAGCTATCTTATTAAATTATTATTTATTTATTTAATTTCATTTGTTATTATCATTATTATTTTTTTAATTTGACCAGACAGAGACAGAGAGAAAGAGAAATGGAAAGTGAGAGAGCAAACCACCAAGTTTGGAACTCAGACCATGGTTGGCCATGTGGAAATCCAGCACCTTTAACCACCAAGCCACCTGCCAGCCCCATCACCTGTATGATGCATCTAAAGTAGTCAAATTCAGACAGAAAGTAGAAAGCTACCAGAGAGTAGAGCCAGCAGGTGGCATGCTGGTTGAGGTATTGGACTCCCACATGGCTGCCTGTGGTTTGAGTCCTGGACCTGGCAGCTTACTTTCTCACTTTCCCTCTCTCTCTCTCTGGTGAATGCACGTGCCCTGTAGCAAATATATAAAAAAATAATAAAATTAGGGGAACCAGCAGGTGCTGTAGTGGTTAAGGCTCTGGACACTCCCACATGGCTAACCGCGGTTCAAGTCCTGGACCTGGTGACTTGCTTTCTGTGTGTGTGTGGTCAAATTAAAATAAACTAACAAATAAATAAAATTAAGTAAATAATTTTTAAAAAAATAATTTAAAAAATTAAATAAATCTTTAAAAAATAAAGTAAAGGAAAGAAAGCAAACTACCAGAGGCTAGGAAAGGGGTGGGGGAAGCAAAAATTCTCTTGTTTAATGAGTATGAAACTTCAGTTCGAGAAGATAAGTAAGTTCTAGATAGGGTTAATGGTGATGGTTATGCAACAATGCGAACATACTTAGCTACCAAATCATATACTTAGAAATTGCACAAATGGTCAATTTTGTTTTATGCCCTTTGCCAGAAATTTTTAAAAATTAGTCATGATCTAAGGAGAGTGAATAACCACTATCATTTGAACAGGAAATGGATTCCCAAGGTCACATGGCTCAATGCCAATTGATTATTATTTTCCTTAAAGTGTTTGTTGTAATTTTATTTATTGTGATAAGCATTAACTAATCTCTTAGGAAAATTCTATATGAGATAATTCTTTGTACACTCCATAACAGATATTTTATATAATATAACAGCTAGAAATGGTAACTAAACATTTTAGGTACCAGACTTTACAATGAGCTTGCACATATAGCTTTCTAAAATACCATATATGCTTAGCTGACTTCTTGCATACAATCTATGCAATATAATTTAATATGTTCTCAGAGTTCCAGAGTCACATTATCAATTGTAAAATAAGAAAATTAAATGAGATAACCCTTAAGAGTCCTTATGGCGGCAAAATCTTAAGATTATGAAGACCAATTATAGCACCACACCAAGATAAAATGACATTTGGGGCTGCAGTATACCAGGCTGCCCTGAACTTTCTCAGTGATCCTATTGTCTCTTTCCTCACCATTTACTTTTCCTTGTTAGCAGAAGCTAACAATAACTCCCGTAACACAGCTTCTAATCTACAACAACAGAAAACTAGGTGAGCAAATCCTTGAGTCTTAATTCCAAAGTATCTTGAGTACAGCAAGATGTTCAATAAGTATTTGTTGAACAAAGTAAAAATTATTAAGCTACAAAGGAGAAAACTGGTGGAGCTCTTCAATCAATAAAGTGCTCAACTGCAATGCATGGGCTTTGTAGGATAATTATTTTATGGAACTGAAAGCATTTTCTACTTCTTTCTTAGTGTTGAATCTTAATCATCCCTTTCAAAGCTTGTGTTAAACAACTCAGTTGGCAGTTGTACTCTAAATAGCTGAGAATTTATTTCTATGCTGTCAGCAAGTTGTTTAACTGAGACTAGCTGCTTGAGAAATAGATGTTTAGAAAATACTACTTAATTTTAATCATTTTATCTATTTTAACAAATCAACCAAACACACATAATATAAGCTCCACTCCAAGTGTCTACTTAATATATATTAATCAGTATTAATTTATTTAATTATTCTAACAGCCCTATGAAACTAATGACACTAATCTCATTTTTCAAGTAAGAAAGCCAAGGCAAAACAGGTAAAGTCACTTGCCCAAGTAACATCACCCTTAAGATCCCTTTAAGTGCCAGAACACTAACTTGGGGGAAATGACACAGATAAAAATATGCTTTCATGGCTGTGTCCTTAAATAACACATGAAACATAAACTGCCCTTCAGTTTCTAACACAGTCATGACTGTACACAGCACTCACAATTTTGTGACAGTGGACGGAGCTGTACTTACCAAGGCATACTCTATAAAGTCAAAATTACAAGGTGGTATCCCTAGTTTTGGGTTAGGTATAATAAACCCGAAGAAAAATAAGATAGTGAGAAGACTACTATTTCCACAGGCAGAGAATCATCTTACCAGTTATAAAACTTACTAAACACCTGCAAGTACCTCTTTGGAATTCAACTTCCTTATCTAGAAGAAGGACCTGAAAGAGTTCTTCCAAAGTCACTTCAAGCTCTAACATTTATTCTTTTTTGTTTTTTAAAGGTCTTTGTGATAGGGCGCATCCACTCTCCAGAGAAAGACCGAGACAGAAAGAGGGAAAGTGAGAAATCACCCTCCAGCTGGGATGGCCATGGGGGTGGTCACACCACAATCCCTTCTCATTTTTCTCCTGGGATTTTGGACAAACTCACACACACCCAGCAGGATTTTCAAGCTGCCAGGTCT